GGGTCAACAGATGCTCGGGCGAGTGTTACGATGCTTCAGTCTTTATGATACCAAAATCGGCTACTGCCAAGGCCTTGGGTTTGTGGTAGGCCCTCTGCTCATGCACATGACAGATGCTGAGGCCTTCTGCGTTCTTGTCCGGTAAAGTCTCCTTGGATGATGATATAACCTGGAGAAGTCGTACTAATACGTCACCTATTTTAGCCTCATGGATCACTATAACCTCCGAACTTGCTATCTCCCAGACCTTTCGGGTCTTCACCTTCATGTTTATCAGTTCCAAAATCTGCTAGCACGGCACAGGCCGGTCCTGTTCCAACACCTCGAAGCACTGCACGTTGAGCCGGTCTACGTGTCGCAGTGGTTCCTCTCATTCTTTGCGGTGGCCTGCCCGCTGCCGATGCTTCTTCGAATTTATGATGTCATTTTTTTGGAAGGCGCATGCGAGACATTGATGCGAGTTGCACTTTCCCTGATGCAACGCAACGAGAAGAGAATTTTGGCTTGCAGCGAATTTGAGGACGTGATGCAACTGTTATTGTCTCGAAGCTTGTGGGACACGTAAGTTTTTTTTTCGAAGCACCGCACAAAGCAAATCTAGGAAACAAAGAACTCCGCTAACCCGTGGTATTCAGATACGCCTTCAATGCTGATGATTTCGTTAATGATTTCGTGTCTCTTACGTCTCTCGTGACGAATGAGAGCCTCCAAGCCCTTGAAGCTAGCTACAATCAATCTAAAGGCTCACCATCCGGACCCTCCTTCCCGCAGATGCAGGCAACGGCCTCTGGTTTCCTTGGGCGGCTATGGGCTGGCTCGTCAAACTCTCACAATTCGGTCAAGTCACTCAATCCGAATACTAGCCCGTCACGTCAGAACAGTACCATTCGTCGCTCTACCTCCAAGCAAAGCCTGACGTCCACTCTCAACTCTATTGAATCCGCGTCCGACGCAAGTACTGCTGCCACCGAATTATCAGCGGCTGGCGCTAGCGTCGATAATAAAAAATCGCGCGTGAAATCCAACATGTCTTCACATCACAAAGACCGCGATCTTCACACCCAGATTGAAGAGCTCTTGATGGCGCTTAGCGATCTTCAGCGCCAACAAGCTAGCCTCACACGTGAACTGCAACAGGAGAGAGAGGAACGGGAGGAAGACCATGCCCTGGCCAAGGAGATGCTGAACCAAATCAGAGAACAGCCGACTGAGTCACAACCGGCCGAATTAGTAGCCAAAGCCCAAGCACGTTTTGAATCGGTTAACCCGAAGCGTGTTTCAATCACCCAGACGAAGCTCCAGCTCAATGACGACGTTACTCGGTGGAAGGAAATGCACGAGGTGGAAGCCGGTCGTTGCTTGAACCTCACACGACGCATCGACGATTTTGAACAGGAAAACTCGTCCCTCAAAGAGCAATTACGGGAAGCCCGGGGCCGGATTCAAGACGGTTATCGGGAGCGACAGCGGCTCGAGCGCTTGAACCGGGAGCTGCGTACCCTCAAAACCCCTATATCGGAAACGCCGCTAGACACAACCACCCCCTCTATGGTTGACTCTGGGGAGGGTCAATCGCCCACTAGTGGTCTACGCGAATTCAAGCTAGCCCGCACCAACTCCACAAAAAGTCCCACATATAACCGACGGACAAGCAGTCTGGGCCTCCAGAGCGTTTTGTCAACGGAGAGTAGCAAACCTGCTGCCGAAGAGGCGTTGCTCATGGAGTTGGTTACTGCTAAGACGGCAGAGGCGGTTGCTAGGCAAGAGCTTGAGGAGGTAAAGGGCAAGTTGGATTCATTCCGGAAAATGATCAAGTCCTCCCAGGCGGCCAACCCTGAAAACCGCCATTCCTTTGTTGGATTATCACAGTCGCGAATCAGCTTGGCGAATAAATGTCCTATCGAAGCCCCGAAGACACTTGGGACACCACCCAACAACACTAGTGGTGGAGGATTCTTCAGTGGATGGGGTCGACGGACTGCGACTGACTAGTGAAATACCAAGATAGATTCTGAAAGAGATACCTGTAACCATATTGGAATGCCTGTCAAAGTGGGCTGAATGGAGTCATGTCTGTATCCGATGTTGATTTATTATTTGAGTACATAGCGATATCCCTATCAAGACGAGTACATATTCTGGTTGTTGGATTTTTCTCTATATAAAAAAAAGTAGGGCTACGAAAGATCAATGAGGATAAACAGCAGATCCGGGGGCATCCGGATCTCCATGCCAACCTACGAAACCCATTAATATAGAAGAAAAAAAACTTCATATTGGCCAAAAGACTACTATATACCTAGGTAGGAATACCGTTTTAGTTAATATTATTCCAGATATCCTTTCCTTGACTCCGTACTGTTCGGGTTTATCGGCAGTCTCCATTGTTCTCTCTCTACCATTGGCCACACACAACATGTAGAGGAACCCAAGCCAAGCCACTAGTCCTTGGGTATTTCGCAAGAGCTACAAAACTTGCAAGGCTCCCAGGTTAATCTTGAGATCTTACAGATTTTAAATTCTCATGGATTGCTTCGCGGTGCTGCGGAGGGTTTTCGGTTCTCCAAGGCGTTTCGCTATTGCTGCCCTATGCCTGGTGTTTTTCATTGTTCACTATTACAGAGAAGCTCTAGTAGTTCCATTACGAGTGAAGCTGTCAAAGTAATTGCAAATCGCCCTTTACTCATTTCCCCTTATTGGTCTATTCTGATCTGTATCAGCCCTACAGAACAACCCATTGATCCATTCCCGAGCGATTACGCCGGTCGACCTCGAATTTCATCTCAAGTCATCAATGACCCCTATCCACATTATGATAGTGCAGAATGGATATCGAAGTCAAAGGGACCGTACCAGCCATGCATTGGACCCCAAGGGCGACTCCTGGGGCACAAAGATGAAGATATGATGATGAGCGGGTTTCGCTGGAATGCTTCAGGTGAGAAGAGCAATAATCTAGGAATGGACGGAGAACTAATCAGAGGCTAGGTTTCCCAACACCAATTTTTGGATCTTATGAGTCGTGGAATTTGAATGACAGTCTCTGTGCCGATCGCTATTCCCGATATGGTGCATATGGTTACCTTCAGGGCAACGAAACCACTCGACTCCATAATTGGAATGGTACATTCGGCTCCGACGAGGCCGCCGAAATTGACTGGGAACAGGTGGACTGGGCACATTTGCAACATGAGTGTCTGCAGCGCAATAGCGTTCGATATCGCACGCAACCGTCCGAAAGGAAGATATCCGCTCTGTACAAGTCACTGGATTCGGATGTGCAACCTCGCGAGCCCTTGAACAAAACAGACAAGGCCCAGCCCCGGACAGCTGTTATACTGCGCTCTTGGATCGGCATGAAATACACCGAGAACGACTTGTATCACATTCGATCTATGATGATGGAATTGTCACTCTACTCGGGTGCGGAATATGAGCTTATTCTCTTGATTGACTGCCAGGGCGAGAAACTGCCCAAGGAGACTGATCACGCTGCCTGGGAGGCGTTCAACAAGAAACATTTGCCACAGGAGCTGCGCAACCTGGCAGTATGGTTTAGCGCGGATATGTTGAACGATTGGTATCCCGGGATTGATGTTCATGTGTATGTATCTGCGGCCCTCACAGCTAGATTTTCCCTGCTGACATTATATTAGAGCGATATTACAGTATTTTCAGCCCACGCAGATCTTCTCGCACCTACACCCTCAGTATGACTATGTCTGGCAGTTTGAGATGGACTCGCGATATACCGGGCATATGTACGATCTTTTGCACAAGGCAACAGAGTTTGCGAAACAGCAACCACGCAAGTATCTCTGGGAGCGTAACTCTCACTTCTATATTCCTGCTGTTCATGGCACCTGGGAAAAATTCATGAAGAAAGTGGACCGAGAAATGCCTGGACATGACAACGGCAGTGTTTGGGGCCCTCGCCCAGCAGATGGTATCGATATCGAAGGGCAAGCCATTATGCCCCCCGTGCCGCACCCAGAAGACGAGCCGGGGACCTGGGGGGTGGGTGAAGAAGCTGATCTGATCACCTGGCTGCCCCATTTCAACCCAGTTGGTACGGACTGGCCTTTCCGTGATCGTGTCTTCAACTTCCCTCAAGATCAAGAGACTCCACGCTGGGCAGCTGTGGTGGCAATGTCTCGCATCTCGGCGCGACTTCTCGGTCTGTTGCATAAGGATAAGGTAAAATCCGGGGTTGGTCTCGCATCCGAGATGTCCCCTTTATCCTGGGCTCTGTACTATGGTCTGAAAGCGGTCCAGATTCCTCAACCGGTGTACCATGATGCTAAATGGGACCCCGAGGAATTGAACCTCCGCGCCAACCCAGGTGAACCTGGCAAGGTCAACGCTGAGTTCAACAGCATCTGGAGCTGGGGCCAGCATGATGATATCATATACAACACAACCTTTATGTTCAACTCTCAATTTTCGGAGAAGCTGTACAGAGCCTGGTTGGGTTATGACGGCGCCAAAGAGGTGAGCACTTGGTCTTGCGGTCCTTTAACAAGTTCTGGTGCTAATTTTATGCAGTGGGAGAAGGAAAACCCTCGACTCTGCCTTCCTCCCATCTTTCTACATCCGGTCAAGAACCTTGAGTCCGTGAAGACAAAGGGCGTTTGATTCTTCACTCGGTCGAGCGTTTCTGGACATTTCGTTTCGATCATGGTGATATACCCCAATTTTGATAGACTAATATAAATAGAAATAGAATAGGATCAAACATGAGTGCCATCTGTAATATCGAAAGTCATGTGCTGACATGACTTTTTATGTAAGGTGAGAGAGACATGGCTTTCTTGTAAGTGACGCCACTATAAGAACCTGCACTCGACCTCTCTCACTCTTCTTCTTTCCTTCTCCCTCAAGTTCACCATTCACTGTTATTTCCCAAGGTCTTTTCTAAACAACAACCTTCATATCTAAAGTACTCACAGCTCACGCCTGCAATCTAATTACCCAGACATTACACCTCCATTCAAGCGAAAATGGCTGCAAATAAATCCACCTCGAAGGTTGGAAAAAGCCCAGCCAAGCCAAAGGAACCCAGAGACTCTGATCTGAAGAAGCAGCTCTTGTTCCTGTGGGCCTGTCACAAGGTCTCGGATGTTCAGGTTACGTTTTTCCTCGACCATGTCGCTTGAATCTCATGGATTGTGCTCACAATATCAACTCGCAGATTGACATCCCAGCCGTCGCCGGATACTTTGGCATCAAGAACAATGCCGCCCAAATGAGATTCAAGCGCATGAAGAAGAAGCTTGATGAAATGGAAGCATCCGCCAAAAATGATGAAGAAACTCACACGTCCAAGGCCAAGGATGATGACCACAAGGTTCAGACCAAGGAGCTGACCTACGAGGCCAATACTGAGGATGAGGGCGATGCCATGAGTGAATAAGAAGAGAAACCCGAAGGACAGACATCTTTGAATATTCGATGTCTCGATATCTGACCAGATACACAAAGTACATAAAGTCTAACACTTTGTTGTTTCTGAATTTTATTCTGCCTTACGAGCCAGTTTGATATCAATGGAAGAATCCCTGGTTACACATAATTATAAAGTCCATTCTAAGAGTTATAATCTTTAGGTACATATACGCATACATATACATATATACATACATATATACATACATATACACATACATATACACATACATATACACATACATATGTAGGTAATTCAGGGTAAAGACCTCGGGGTAGAAGAATACGCGGTTGCTCAGTTTGCTCCGTCTTTCTTTTCCTCACCTCTTCGATCCCATCTTTGACAATGGAGAATACAAAAACCAACGAAGCTCTCGCCCTCCTCTGGGCTTATGAACTCAACCGGGAGAATAAACAATTGTTCAAGGGACTCAAAAAAATGAATCGACGTCTCGATGCCTTTCACCCAACCACATCAGCTGGCTGTGCCAACGATTCACATCAAAGCAATGGGAAATTGAACCAACGGCCGAAAACTCAAGGTTGTTAGTGGACATGGGGTGAAGCAGAGGTCGCTTTCGCCAAGGTCCGGTCGGTTTTTAGCTGCGGGATGAAGTCACAATGATTGGAGACACGTCGGGGATGACCCGATGCGGGGATAGAGGGGAACATGGCTCACGTCCATTTCTTCTCTTCGTTGCTGTTTTGATTGAGCTCATATTATTATCTCGAGTGCAAGCGACAACCTACTCATACGACAAAATGGTCCTCACACAACCCCCAAATCAGCATGTCATGAAGGCCTTCGACCTCACGGGCAAAGTCGCAGTTGTGACTGGTACAGTATCTCCCAATATTCCAATCGTCAAAAAGCGTTTCGAATAACACCCTGTCACAGGGGGCGCTCGCGGAATCGGCCTTGAAGTCTCGAGAGCATTGGCTGAAGCCGGTGCAAATGTATGTCATACTATCAGATCCTACAAAACAATCAAACTAACAATTTACAAAGGTCGCCTTGATCTATCATACATCCCATACGGCCGATACAATTGCAGCCGAAATTGCATCTACTAACAACGTACGCGCAGCAGCGTACAAAGCCAATGTGTCCATCCAGTCTGAGGTCGAGGCGGTTGTGCAGCAGGTCGTGAAGGATTTCGGGAAACTCGATATCATGGTCGTCAACTCTGGGATTGTCTCGAGCATCGCCGCCGAGGACTACACCTCCGATCAATGGAGCGAGATCATGAAGGTCAATCTTGATGGTGCTTTCTACTCTGCTCAAGCTGCCGGCCGGATATTCAAGGTACAGGGCCATGGAAATGTTATCTTCACAGCCTCCATCAGTGCGAATTTGGTCAATATCCCACAGAAGCAAGCGGCAGTATGTTCTCTATTTCTCTGTTGAAAACGGTCCTTCTGCGTGTCGCTCATCATTGCATAGTACAATGCGTCCAAGGCAGGAGTTGTTCAACTCGCCAAGTGCCTGTCTGTCGAGTGGGTTGACTACTGTCGTGTTAACTGCATCTCCCCTGGATACATCGCTACCGAAATTCTGAATACCTTCCCCAAGGAGTGGTGTGACAAGTGGTACGACTTGATTCCTGCCAAGAGAATGGCAGAATCTTATGAGTTGAAGGGGGTAAGGTTCCACAGATCCAGTTTCCTCTAGGCATCGGTTGACAATCCCCATCTAGGCCTACGTATTCTGCGCCTCGGATGCATCTAGCTATATGACTGGTGCAAACCTCATTATTGATGGAGGATACACTTTGCTTTAGATTCTGCCTCGTGATTTGATAACCAAGGGGCTACTTTGTGTGGTAAAGTCCAAGATGCGCGAATGAACAGAATGATTCCCAATGCCCATATTCCGTCCGACACATAACAAAGGTTTAGTGATATATACCATGTATCAGTCCCTGAATATACATAGAAAAGTCATCTGCACAGTTTATACTTTTTAATGCCTTCGTATACATCGAAGACATTAAAAAGGGACATAAAAAAAAAAGAAATACAAGCGAAAATACCTTGGGATGTATGTTATTACATATCACGTCCCTAATATCATCTGAAGATACATGGATCAGATTATTAAAGTCTTATAGAGGCCGTATAAGCCGCAGACTATTCTTATAGGTACTAAAGACAATCTCGAATTACCATTCTCTCAGCACAGTTGCATCTCAATCCCCAATCAACAATTCAGTGATAATCGCTCAAACTTGGCGGCAGATCCTGAATATGAGTTCCCCATTCACTCTCCTTAGGTCCCAGCACAAGTTCAAGAACACCACCCTCAGCGAAGAAGTCATGGTTGATCCAATTCCTTGACCACGGTTTGTCATTCCACTTGGCACTCTGGATATAGATGGACCTGTAACTAGGATCGAAATTAATGTTGCGGATAGTGGCGACCTTTCCAGTGAGGGCATTTCGAATGCTGACTTCTTTGAAGTAGGGTGGAGTGATCAGGTAAACGTCCTGACCGGGCACTGGCCACAGACCCATCATGCTCAGAACAACAAATGAGCCCATGGCTCCGCTATCGTCGTTGCCGGCGATACCATTGACTGTCGTGTTGAATTGGGATGGAATGTAGAAGTGGCTCTGCTTTGCCGAGAGACCTGGCCGTCCCGAGTAGTGGAATTGGTAAACGGGTAAGAAGGCCTGTTCATCGCCCACGTAGAGCAAACCAGAGTCATGGAGATAGCTTAGCCGAGAGGTGAAGGATTCGGCACCGCCAAGCGTCTTGACAAGAGCGCCCATGTCGTGGGGGGCATAGCTGTAAGTAAAGCGTTAGTTACGAGGATAAGAAGCATAAATCACAAGTGAGCACCCACAAGGTATACATCCATGCACTACCTTCATAGGTCTCATGGCCATCAGGATTGAGGTAGCATGAGGTAAAGCTCAAAAGAGGACTACAAAATATTGGGTCTTGGTGTCCCCATGTGCCATTCGTATATCGAGGCTGTAGGAATCCGGTGAAGTTGGTGTCGACCCCCTTGATGCTTGACTTCTGGTCGGCCTTGAACATGTGGATCCAGTTTCCAGACCGTTTCGTGTATTTCTCATAGTCGGACTGGTGGCCCATTCCCTGTGCCATCTCGGCAATGCAAAAGTCGTTATAAGCATACTCCACCGTTCGCGATATACTCCGAGTGTGTGTACCTTCGCCATCGGGATCATCGTCATCAAAAGGAATATAGCCGAGATTTTTCCAACTCCGCAAGCCACCGCGGCCTTCCACGTCCCAGTTTTTGGGCTCTACCTCTGCATCCTTGACAACAGCTTCATATGCAGTGTCCCAGTCGATACCCGGAACCTTTTTCAGAAACGCATCTGCCATAACCACATCTGCGTTGGACCCGCCCTGCGTGAATCCCTTGCAAAGCGACATGCGACAGTCCGGCAGATATCCTTCGTGTCTATAGGTGTCGATTAAGCTGCGCATCATGAGGGATTGGGAGAAAGGATCAACCAGAGTCAGCAGCGGATGAATGCTGCGGAAAGAGTCCCATATACTGAGCCATGTTAGCATGCTAGTCATGTCTCTTGACGCGGAGCTGGCTTACCAATAGTAGCTGTCATAATACGGCTCGTCACTTTTCCAGAGAGGGTTTTCACCGGTATAATCTTGGGGACTGATGAACGTTCGATATGCTCCACTCCAGAATACCGTTTGCAGATCTGATGAAACTCCATCTGCATCCACAGAAATGACATCCAACTTTCCTTGCCAAGCAGATTCAGCAGCGGAAACAGTGCCCTCGAAGTCAAAGTCGGGTTGTTCTCGCTCCGCGTTCGAGCAAGCCTGGTGAGTACTTATGAAGCTAACACCAACGCGAGCAAGAATGCTGCTATCCTTGGGAGCGTGGAATCTGGTAAATGTACCGGCCGAGAGAGTGGATGATACGTCAGATCCGAGTGTCAATGTCCGCCTGTTGAGGTTTGGTTGGTTTTTCTCCCAGGTGCCTGTGTCACGAAGCTCTGCTCCTTTGAAATCAACGCAAACATATGACTTGTAACTGCCGATACCAAAGCTCGGGCTGAAAGTGCCACTTCCCGTGATACGCCCAGTCGATTGGTCCACATCGGCACTGCCACTTGTTCGAGATTGCGGTAAATCCATCAAATCCAGAAGAACTACTGGACTGAGCGACTGACCGAGGGTTTCATTGAACGTGAACCGATATAAAGCAGATCGATTTGTGGTTGTCATTTCTGCGTGAACGCCATTCGCCAATGAAATGCTGAAATACCCTGGGCGAGCTTCAGGCGACTTTCTGTCCCAGGCAGCTGCTCTTTCCGATTGTTGCCATTTGCACTGGTTAATATCGTCTTGTGGGCAATTTCCTTGTGCGAAGATGGGGAAATTTCCCATTGATGGTGACTTTGGAGCTAGTCAGATCCAGGGCATGTTCTCCAATATTCTGGGAAAACTTACGCCGCCAGTTCCAGAATCATGCATGTGTGAGAAACCAGTCACAACCTTCGTGTCATAAGCGAAGCCAGCCTGATTCTCGCCTGTTGTGTCCGCCACGGCTTTGGCCATACCTGTATCTATTAGCCTTGATAGATGAAAACACGGTGTATGGTATGAATCACCAAACGGCAAAGTCGCGCCAGCAAATACATGGCCTGTAAGAGTTGGTCAGCCTTAGCAGACAGAAATGCTCATGTTCAACACAAACCTCCATTCGCGGTGCCAATCAAAGGATCGACATATTTCAAGACGCCAGGATCATCTAAAGCATCCTTTGTCGCTATGACGTTGGAAGCATAGAGAGCTGTCACAATTCCACCGAGGAGCCACATGCGGTGGGAGGGATGCTGTGATGGCATAATGGATACAGGAACTATCCTCGACCACACAAATAATCCAACAGCTGTCCAATTTATAATTAAGACGTAGAAATCACGCGTTCCACTGTGGAATTTAAGCTCCTTATTTAGGGATTG